AAGGTGGACATGCTTGGCTCTTGGCTTACTGACCATAAGGACAAATCTGGTTAACCAGTGTGGTAGGTCCCAGGCAGGGCCAGGGGCTTTCTGTCAGAGACCTGTTTCTTCCCATACAGAGATGACAGCTACTCATTGTCACCCCAGTCAGGTAGTTCCAGAATTCAAACCAGTCATACAACTGAACTCACCAGCACCTTTGGCTGGCCTAGCTGTGAGTGAAGATAAGTCTCTCTTAATGATTTAGTCTTCACATTCACCAATTATACATTAGCTGCCTACCAGGAGCCTTGCACTGCTCCCTGCTCTGTGGGGTAGGCCTCAGAGCCCTGCTGTTTGCAGGGCTGGGATCGAGGCTTAGTGGGGAGGGTGCCTCCCAAGGGTTGATTTCCAGGCTCTCATTTCTATCAAGTGCAGCCTTGCTAGACCCAAGACGTGGAGCAGCTGATGGACTCTTCTTGACACTATGGCAGATTTTTTGACTGTGGTGTTTAGGGGACAATTTTGCATGCCAGCAATACAACAATAATGATTGCATGTTCATTCCACTTTCCCACTGGAGTAGCCTGTTGCTCTCCATCTTTGAGTTCTGACGGCCGGCCTGCACACAGACAGAGGCCTGCTTTGCCATGGCCTCCTATGTGCCCTTGTACCAGTATGAGCAACTGCTATGGCCTAGTTTTAATGAGAAGCCACTAGGGGACCTCTCAGCTCTGTCATGAGGAATCCCAGGGCTTCTGATGTGGAACTTAGTCAAATATGCTGAACAAAGCTGTGACCAGCCAATAGGGGACCCAAGGTGGCTTGTACTATGAATTCCCTCCTTGTCACCACAACCAAATTATCATCCAGATAAACTCAGTTATATTAAAATATCAGGCTGCTTTAAAATGGAAGATTGCCCCCAAAGGGAATCTGAGAGGGATCTGGAAGCACAAGAAGCTCATATGCCCTCCTTGGCAATGAATTATGTGTTTTGGATCCTTCCCTCCTGCCTCTCTTCCTCTTCCTCTCTCTAGCACTTCCTCTTCCTTCCCTTCTCCTTCCACCCCTCCCTGCTCCACCTCTCCCCTCTCTTCCTCCTTCTCTTCCTTTCTTCGCTTCTCCCCCTCCCCATTCCCTCCTTTCTGGCCTAGCTACAGCACATTCCCCTGGTGTCCTTTGGTTCTGGTTCATTTCAGTTCAGCCAGTTTGTTCCTGAGTCATCACAGAGCCCTTCCCCACCAGGGGCATTCATCCCCATCTGTTACACACATTCATTTATTCAACAAGATCTAGTGAATGCCTGCTCTGTGTCAGGAAAGGCTCTAGCTCCTAGAAATACGATGAGAAGTTAGAGGGATAAGCATTCTGCTCTGGGAAACCTGACAGTTTGAGGGGTAGATGGCTCCACAGGATGGTTCTGCCGGTACAAACAGAAATTCCCAAGTCCTGTCTCTGTAAATCTGGTTCTATGGCTCTGGGCCACACCCAGGAATCTGCATTTTCTAAGGAGCCATCCAGGTGATGCTGGTACAGGTGGGCACAAGTGGGCCCTGAACCAGTCTCAGAGAAACATTCTTTTCGCCGTGAGACAGTGCCCAAAGTCACCCCATTGAGCGTATTGACTGTGCCCTATAATTTTAACTGACTCTCTTGCTTTCAAGGGATTAGAAAATATAGTGCCTTGAATGAAGCAGGGTCTTAACTACACACACATGTTAACATCCTTCAGACACCGAGCATAGGCTTTTGCGGGAAATTGTTCTAACTTACCAGAATTTCTTGATGTGCTCGCAGTTACTCTCTAGGAAACTGAGTTAATACCAGGATGCCTCCTGTCACCTCTTCTCTGCAGATTCCTACACTCTCAGGCTGCATTGTACATCTCCAATCACAAATGTAGCTGGCATTTCTTCATTACTAGGGTGGACCCTGATTTTTAGCTCCCAGAATGACTCTTCCCTGAAGTTTGCCCCTTATGGCTGTGCGATAAAACCTCTCTCCTCCCTCTGGGTCATAAGTAGAAGGGGACAGCATGCGTCATCATCACAGTTTGGTTGCAAAGAACAGAAGCCCATCTAACAGTTTTAGTCAAGGAGGACAGACCGCAAAGACACAGGAGGCACTCACATGACACAGGGAAGAAAGTAGAGCCAGACCTGTCAGCAGATGGGAAGCTGAAATCACCAGACAGTCTCCACCCCCTGGTCTTACACCTCCACTATGTGTCTGCCTCCTCCCTATGTGCCATAATCCATGTGCTTGGGGCCACAAGGGCAGCCCCACGTGGTAGCCTGTGCTCTACAGATACATTAGACCGCCTAGTTCTAGCTTCCAGCACTGTCTTAATTCCAAGTTAAAAGAAAAACATAATTTGATTGACGGTTTGGGTTAGGTTAACTGAGACTAGGGGATGGGCTTATATAGAGCTTTCCCAGGCTGAGGGCCTGCTACTTCTCTTGGAGGGGCCAAGGGCTAGAGGAAATGATTGGCAGTGAAGTGGTTGCTGTCCCTGGTGTAGCCAGGGTGGCACAGCTGCACCAGTAGAAGGCAGCATCCCATGAACATAGGTGTGATTTGTATGAGGTTTCTGGAAAAAAAGATGGATGGGCCTCAGTAGGAAGGTGAAGGAACATTATTTACTGAGCTCCTGCCCTATGCACTGGGCATCTCTTACATCTTTTCACAGCAACGCTCTGAAGAGACTTGACTGGGACCCAAAGTGCTGCATTAATGTAACACAAGTACAGTTTTCAGTGGCAGTGCCAGAATTCAAACTACTCTGAACATTACTTTTTCCAGTGTGCCCCACTGCTGCCTTATCTCATGGGTTCCTAGAGGCATTCCATCGAGTTAGAAATCTGGACATTAAGATCAAGGTTAAGCTCAAAATCAGAAGGAGTAGATGAGAATCTGAGACTGAGGTCTATAGTTCAGCTCAAGAGAATTCTGCCTAATACCTTTCCAGTGGCCCCAGGGGAGTTTTACTGGGCCTCCTGTATGTCTCTTCTGCCCAGGAAAGCATCTTAATGGCATGTCTGGCCTTTGGCAGTGTGGAGTTTGCCAGTTCTTCCATGAAGCATTTGCTGGAGAGTGCCGTGAATCAGAAGGGCTAAAATCAAGGGCTTTGAAGCTGGATGGGTTTTGAGCTCTACTCTGTGACTCAGGGACAGGTTGCTAAAACTCCATGGGTCTTGGCTTTTAAATGAAGATGGCCCTACCTCCTTCACAGAGCTGTGAAAATTTTTAAATGAGACTGTAAGAAAAGCGCTTTGCACTGTGCTTGAGACATAGAAATTGCTCAATGAATGGTTTCTTTAATAAT